TCTTTTTTTTTTTTTTTTTGAAAAATGACAATAATGGGAATGACTTACCGACAGGTTTGCATCAAAAGGCATAAAATGACTTTTTGTTAGCGTCTCTGCACAATCTTAACTTCACTGAGATTGGCGAGCGAAGAGAACCTACCCCCAAGGCAAAGAAAACCCCTTAAAGCAGAAGCACCTACGACCACAGGATAACGAACGTCCATACGTCTTTTTAACCAGTAACTTTGAAATTCACTGGAGTATAAAGTTGAGATCAACGTATTGCCCTATCCCATCCTAAGGGGAAACACCACAGCTCCCAGGAAAGACACAGCATGTATTATTACTGCGATAATGAATATTTCGAAATTACAAAGTATACACGTAGCAGGTAATACAAGACCAGGCAACTTTATACCAAAACTTAACCGGAATGGCTGACAGATCGGAGGATTCTCCCCGAGGCCACTGTGCAAATTAAGAGCCATCTGCTAAGGACCAAAACACAGACCAAGATATCCCGTGCAGAGCTTAACGAAGGCGTCCAAGTCTGGCAGGACTGCAGACAGCCTCCGCGGCGGCGATGCCGGGGGAAGGAGGACACAACCTCTCGCTTCTCCCTGCCATTGAGGTTCTGCACTCTCCCTTTTAACTGCTCCTACCTCAGCGCTGCAAATCCCTCCTTCCCAAGAGAAGGACGTGCCACAAACACCTCTCATCTCTCCTGTAAACGCCCTCCCTTCAGGGTGGCCCCCGATCCCACCGGCTGCTCGGGTCCTGCCCGCGTCCAAGCTCCTGGGTTGAGGTGGCCAGCACCATCTCGGTGCCTGCTGGCGCTCACCGCCCACCTGCTCGACGCGAAAGCTTTTGTGCTCAGAGAAAACCTCCAGCCAACCAAAGCAAAAGCGGCACCAGGAGGTTTTAGTAGTATCAACACGGCATAAATGGAACAAAAATGGAAAGGAGCAACACTGAGCGCCTACCAGCACGGCCTGAGTTGAGGATGGAAGCACACGCTGAAGTTCATCAGTTCCCTTAGACGATGCAAGGAAAAACAGCAGAAACGGAGGCCGGAGAGTCCTTCTCCTCAGCGTGTCCAGCCATGGAGGAGCAGAGGACCCTGGCGAGACCCTGCTGCTCTGAAGGGACCTGCAGCTGGTGCTGAGGGGCACGGAGAAGCACCGAGCTGTCCCGTGCCCTCCAAGGGAGGCGGCTTTTCCCAACGGCTCCCGCCAGCGGAACGCAAAGCCTGGTCTATCCCTCTGGAGGAAACGCTGGAAAGCTACTTCTCCCAGCTTGCCCGGTGCAATGCAAACACTACATACAAACTGAAGTGCTCTCCTCCCCTTTAGGGCCTATCTGCAAAAACAAGAACAGAAGAAACCAGCCAAACATCTACCTGTAACCTCGGAAGCCAGAGAACTTTAAAAAACAGGAAAAATTGAGTCCAGAACACCAGGGGAGCCCCATCTTGAACACTTGATAGCGAAGACATATCTAGCAGGAGCCAGGGCTGAGCGCAGCAGTATTGAAATGCCAGAGAAACCGCATTCCCAGGGGTCTTTCTGCTACTGTTTCTCTTCTGAGTCTCTTTATAGGCTTTGGGGAGCCAGGAGGGACTGGGCTCCTCGCGCAGGACTCCGAGCTTCCACCGGAGCCCAGCGCTGTCCTTACCTCAGCATCCCGACTTCGGATCCAAGGACGCAAGAGATCCGCGGTTCTGGCGATCCGCATCCCCAAAAACTCAAGGCTCTGCAAAGCTTTTCCCTTGCTGCTCTTCCCCTGCCCACAACCTCACAGAGCAGCCCAAGTCCTGACCTAAGGTCTCCTGCATCCTGCCCAAAGCTCAAGGTCCAGTCACTCCGGTTCCTCCAGAAAGTAGCATGGGGCATTATTGCAATAATACTCTCAAATGCTTTTTTGCCTTTTTTTTTTTCTCCTTAAATCCCTGAGATTTAAAATTGCCAATAAAGGACCTGGGTAGCTGCAGAATACAAGCAGAAATACATTATAGGTGTGTTTTTGGATTAACTGTTTTGCAGGAAGCTGTAATCCTCTAAGGATTACCAAGTATATTTATTGAAAGGACACAAATGCTTCTAAGATCCTTTGAAAATCTAGGGAATTTGGCTGGATTTATTCCCATGTTAAGCAATTCTAACAGAGTGAGAGCAAATGCTTGCGATCGAGGAAAAGCTGAACGTTAGCAGACAAGGTCACTTTTAAAAAGCAGAACCTTGGTTCTTTTTTAAAGAGATCAAACAAAATTAAGAGCCTCCCTCTATATCTTTAGCTACAGATTTGTCCACATCTCTACTATCTGTGAAGTGTTTGGACAGAAGCCTTTTTTCTCCTTTTTTTTTTTCTTTTTTTTTGAAGTTACATAATGTAGCTGTTAAAAGGACAGGAGATAACCTGCCTAAATGCATAAAAGTACCAGGTTTTGTTACAACCAAAGACATCCCCCAAGTGTCTATTTACCAGTGTCACGTTAAACATCCGTGACACTGCATCCACAGGTATGAATAAAGCCAAAGACTGAGAATACACATTCAATGGAATGAAAAATAAAAATAAAAATCATGTAGAATGTTTACAAACGTGAAAAAAAGATTAAACATGACTGAAAGTCCAAACCACTACTTTGTTCTACAAAGGTCTGGGTTTCTGTGCAAAGATGGGCAAAGACAACAGGTTTCTACAGGAATAACAGTGATTCTGATATTCAGCCACAACACAGTGCTGTGAGGAATAATCATGCCTACAGAAACACTAAAGAAATAGGTGACTGAAGGATATTTTGCTTCATTATACTCTACCATACATTGCAAAGGACTCCTTTGAACTTGGAGACCTCTGTCAAATAGCATTTTTTTTAAGTGTTTGATTAAAAATTAAAGTGTTCTAACAAGTCCAGCTATGATAAAATCGATATGAATAACAAATCTGTGAGCACAAAACTCTGCTTGTCATCGTAACCTGCTTGTTTCAGGAGCTGATTAAAATGGTACATTATGATCCCCTTCTGGCATCTGCAAAACCGGATGACAGGCAACGCAAAGCGAATTATTGCAGGACACGATATTTTCTCTAATAATTTCTCAGAAAGGCACAATTTTACCCAAAGTGTCTTCTGCTGAAAACAGCACATCACTTTAAAGAAAAAGCCAAAGCTACCACCAGATTTACTGCCGCCCGTCTTCCCCAGAGAAAGCAGACTTTGCATCTGGAATGAACTAATTTGTGAGCATTTTTCTGCAGTGTGATTAAATAAAGGAAAATAAGATTAGAGAAAAAGCTACGGGGCTTAAGTGCTTTCATAGTCTGTGCATATATCTCCAAACTACTGCAAAACAGCCACAAACTTGCTTGCTGCTAGACAACTGAAGGCACTTTGCAATCAGAAAACATAATGATTGTCCTCGCAAGAAGTTTTCTTGACTCCTGTTTTTCAGTTGATCTTGCACATATTCTTCTAAATGTCGTATGATACTTATTCTTTGAGGTATACAGCAGGCACTTTGCATAGTTTTGATGGTTTAAAAACTATCCTTCATAGTTGATTTGAAGATTGCCTTTTTTTTCTGATTGTGGAAAAGTAAGAAGATTCCCGCTGCAGTACAGGACATCATCTCATTCATCAGATGTGGCGACTTGTTAACAAGCATCTGGGAAAAGATACATGACTGATAGGCACATATTTATGGCCAAAATATATTTTGATATACTGGAATTTCTGAGATTTCTGCATAAAGCAGCTGATGCTCCCCGAAATTACTGCGTTTTCTGAAACTCAGTATTTTGGAAGCATCACAGCCAACATCAAGGCACATTTTGGATGCCACGCATAGAACGTGGCACCAAAGCTACGATGCTCTTGGGGAACTGAAGGCAAAAGAAAATCAACTGTATTATAAGAGTTAAAAAAAAACAGCCACCGGACTAAAATTTTCCAGCTCGCAGTGACTGACACCGTACCCTTCTTTTGACTTCTACATTGGAACAGCATGAAGGCATCCGTGGCAAAAATCAGTGTGTCCATCAGTGATTGACATGTGCGTTTTCCGTCCAGTCTTCTTGAGTAAGATTCTTTAAGTTATTCTGAAAGTCAAAAGTCAAATTCTCACCGGTCGCTTGGGGATTGCTAAAGAAGAGGTTTACGCCCAGCGTGGCCGCCGTTCCGGAGTCCCAGGAGTCTGTGTCCGTGCTGCTGGAGTCTTCCGTGGCCGTGGGCGGATAACTCAGCTGTTCCAGCTGATCGATGATGTCGGTGAACTGAAAGGCTGAGCTGGACTCGGAGCGCACGGAATAGGCTGGGAAATTCACCATGGAGCTGGCCTCGGAATGGTTGGCAGAGCTGTAGGCACGCGAGGAGGTGCCGTTCAGGGGCAGGTTGTTGAGGGAGCTGCTCTCCGAGCGGTTGTTGACGAGGGAGCTCGTTTCAGACGGGCTCAGGAGGCTCTGCATGCGGCTCGCGTGCGCCTTGACCTCAAACAATTCGGAGGTATTCGAAGGCCTCTCGTTGCCATTGAAATCGTTCCCTTCATCAAACTCAAACTCGTCTTCCATATTCATATCGACTGCTTCTGTTGAGTACCTGTCAGGGCTTGACTGGGAAGAGACTGTATTTTCTTGGAGGGCCTCTGTTGTTAAGGCAGATGACTCCAGCGCGTGCTTAGAAAGCTCGGAGCCCTTCAGCTCTAAACCACTGTACATGTATGAAAACGCCTCGGATCCCCCAGCAAAAAAGGAGATTTCTGCTGGGTCATCATCAATGAATTCCTCTGAAACCTGTAATGGAGAATTTGGGAAAAGGGGGGCACCCCTACCGCAGCGCTGCTGCTCTTTTTCAGCAGTGAAAACACCCGTGGTAAAGTCATCCTCATCATTGTCATTTTTACAACCAGCAGCCCTACTCTCTTTGCTACTCTTCTCTACGCCTGGGTCTAAACCACAACTGCTCTCAACCACAGGACAAGCAGAGCTACAGTTTCCTGCAACACTACCAAACCCAACACCTTGGAATGACTGGAGCATGGCAGATCCAGGCTGCGGCATCGGCTTCCTCCCGGTTTCTTCCGCTGGCGCGGCAGGATTTTTTTCGGGAATCCTTGCGAAGGGCGCGCGGGGCTCTGCCGAGGGAGGGCTGGTTTCTGCAAAGATGGGCAGGACAGGAGTAGGAGTGGTCGCTGAGTGAACTGAATGGAAGGGGGTGGTTGCTGAGGCAGGAGACCCTGGGGTTCTCAAGCCTTCAGTGAAGGGGACACTCTGAGGGGGAAATAAAAAGAGAACAAGTGAAAAGGTTATTTTTTTTAATACATAAAAGCAAATGCCACATCTGGCTCCCAGTACAGAAGGAATGCATGCTTCAAGATAGCACCTTTTTAATCAAATAAAACCATATACAGAAAGAGACCCAGCATCCCTCAAAAGATGACAGGTCTTTTTTTTTTTCATGGATTTTCATAACTGAGTGGAAAACTACATCACACAGTTTATACCCTCTGCTGAGAAAAGACCTGTGAGGGAAAGGAAAGCACCTACAAAGAAGAGCCAAACCCTGCACTGCTTCCTTAACCTCTTGCATCGACTGCAAGCCCTTTTCCGTGAAACTGCTGCTTTTACACTCTTGTTTCTTGCTGCATCGTAGAAGGCACCTGGCTGGCTGACAGCTTCCTGGACAGCAACATCTAGAGGGCTGCAGGACTAACCTGTTTTGGCACATCTGGGCTGGAAGCGTGAGCAGACACTCTAGCTTTGCTGTGCCGCCTGCGGGAAAGAGAACAACCAGGGTGAGTATCCAGGCCAGCACTCGGCCTTCTCCCTTCCCTCTTCACATATTTCCTTTTAATAGCCCACAAAAGAGGTCCAATATGTATTTTTGCTCGTTTTCTTCATGACCGCACCAAAAATTAAGAGAGTTGCAACAGCTCTAAGTTAAACAACATGGGAGCAAGAAATGCACAGAAAATGGAAGGGAGGAAGACTCAGATCACTTGTAACCACTGAGAAAACCAAGAGCAAAATGGGACAAAAGAAGAGACTAAGCAGCACTTCATTTAGCTTTCTTCCTTTTACACATCACAGATGAACAGCTTCAAAACAGAATGAGTTAATCTGCAGCAATTATACAAATATTTTATCTTTCAGTCAACTACACAATTTATACCATGTAGCAGTCTAAGCATTAAATCCCCAGAAGTGGTGTCCTACATTAAAACTGATGGTTAGATTCAGTCCATAGCAATTACTTGCTAGGAAAAAAAAAAAAAAAACACTTTCATAAAGAAAAGCAGCTCAGATGCCCAACACACTCATTAATAGCAGAGTTCAATGCAAACCTTTTGAAAACTCTATTTAAATTCATATAATCTTTCACTTAAGGGACTAGGAAGAGCTTCCTACCTTTAGAGGGAACAGTTCATAGTCAAGTAAAAGCATTTCCACTGTAAAATTATTTCATATTTCCAGTATTTTTTCATTATCAAACCTTTTTATTTTTAGAAGAGAAGGGAGGTTTAAGGCCTTATTTCAAGACATCCAGAACCCAAGTTCAATTATAAAGGTGGAATTATATATACAGAAGAAGCTGGATTCTCAAATATCACTACCTTTTAGCCAAACTACACAAATAGAGACGTATATAACAAGTATATATGAGTCCTCAATAATTGCAGTGCATCTTCACAGGACTTCGAAAGCCAAGTCACAGATTGCCCACAAATATTAAGACACAACACTGAAATTTCCATAAGCTCCTTTGCATCATCACAAAGTTATAAATTGCAAAAAAAAAAAAAAATAGCTACCTTGAATTTTAGGTAGAACTTGGTATCTAAAAGCTCAGCAGAAGACCATGCCACCAAGCATCAATTAAAAGCACTGAAATTCAAGAAATAAGGGCACTCAAAGTCTCAACTAGCATTTTACTTGGCAACCACCTTTGTGTTTACCTTTCGTACGGAGTTTTCTTCACCCCACTGTCCTTGATATAATCCACCAGCTGCTTCTGCGTCCGTCCACTGTGAACCCAATAAAGGACAGGGTTAGGAAATGCAGTAGATTAAAATTATGGTCAGCTTTGGAGCAAGGAGTTTTTATAAATCCATAAAAGATTCTGAGATAGTTAATTTAGCTGGATTACTTTAGAACAGTTTTTCTCCTTTTATTCTCATTTTTGATTTCCAAAAAGCTCATTTTAAAACATTTATTGTGGTTCTCCCTACCTGTATCTGAAGGAAGACCCTCTGGTGAAGAACACGGCTTTAGCCTTTGGCTTTGGCTGGTCAAACAGCCTAAAGAACGTATGATACTCAACACAGATTTTCCAGAAGTTTTTACACTCATCCCTACTTCCCAAAAGAAACTCCAGTGTATCTTGATACGGACCCTGGGAACGAAATACAAAAGGCTCAAGTAGCACTTAATATGGGGGTGAATAGGACAAAGCAAACATATGCAACAAAAAATATTTGCAGTGACTTGCAATATTTTCCTATATCACATTTCATACTACCTAAGGCAGTGGCTACGACTTTTAATGCAGTTTAAAATCACCTACTAGTTTTCTAAATTATCTGTTTACTTTGAAAACATAAAAATGTTTAAAATACACTTGTCTAAGAGCTCAGGAACAGGCTGGATATAATTCACATTAAGTAGTACAGAGTATGAAGTTTCATCAACTTTCCGGGGGTGTCTCTAAGAGATACTTAACTATTCCTGCAGATTATGTGTGCTGATTCTAGCTTCTGAGATGTATATAATTAGGTATGTGTATATTTTTCTTCACCCCAATACAATCTGATATTTATTAGAAACAAATTAGTAGATATTCACCACATTCCTAGATCAGGAAAGTTAGAGGAATACTTAGGAATGCATATATGTTTCTATATAGTCAAGCCTACGACTATGGTCAAACTTACACGGACCTCTGGGTGGAGTTTAATAAGGAATCTCTTCCTCTTGAAGCTTAGTTTACGGACCTTAGACCAGTTGAAGGTGTTGATCTTCGTATTGCCCTGCATTAAAACAGCAAAAGTTAAAACAAGAAGCTTCAGAAACAGCAGCAAAGCACAATCCATTGCATGCATACACACGCATACATGTGCACACCCACCCCATCCTGCTTAATCCGTATTTTTGCTAGCAATATTCCTCTGAGCACCTTTGTATTTCAAGATGGGGATGGCTACAAGTGGTGTCGCACTGGACAGACACTAAAACTGAATTTAGAAAATCCTGTAAATCTACGAGGAAGGGAATTGAAAATTTAACCTCAGCAATAGTCGGGATACTGTATGGCAGAAGCAAGATCAGAGTTACAACCTATTTAACACGGTTTCCTTTGCCCTTGCACTGCTTACAGACCTTTACATACTCACCCAAGCTGATTTTCCCTAATGCCACTCAGTATCTGCAAAATCTCAGGTTGATACTTGCTTCACAAGACAGAAAGCTCAAAAGAGGACTGGAACACAAGTCCTATCACAGTTTCAAAGCACTGATCCCAGAGCAGCGAGCAAGCAAGCAGCAAGAGATTCCTCCCCCCCCATTTCTAATCCAGAGACACACGTAAGCAACAACCCTTCCCCACCTTACCTGGAACACTAGCACACCCATGTGCGAAACAGCCAGATTAATTTTTGTGCCCTCACGGTCCGATGCAAGGTGAAATCTTATCCCATACATCTCCAGTTTCCGGGCAACTTCAAGCACTTGAAAGTCTGATTCAGAAAAAAATCAGCAGGAGTTTGACCCCTGTAATGAGGAGCAACAACAACAAAAAAGATATAAAGTTGTTAAGAACAATTTGATAGTAGTTTTGCCGACACGGCTGAAGTATTTAAGTTTGCAACTCTGGCACTTTATCAGAATCCTCTAATCTAGTCTGATAATTTTATTCCACGTGAAATATTCGCTACCTTTGTGATAGAGGCAATATGCAACAGCAAACAGTCAAACTAAAATGCATCCCCCAGGCAGCTACCCTGAAACAGATACCAGCTAGCAAAGAGCTTGTTCAGCTGAGAAGAAAGGAAGTTCAATAAATCCTAAATTCAACCCACGAGGCTCTTCTTTGCACATGCAGTTATATTAACAGGCCCACAGCAAACGGATCCAGATGAAAACGTCACCTACTAGTATGATAGGAACAAAGCAGAATAACAAATTTGAGAGGGATTACAGACTCATGTCAAAATTACTAGGCTAACACTATTAAACGTGGTGCAGTGATCTCCCCGGCCTTCGGGTGTGGAAGGAGGTTCTTCCTCCTTGTCAAAAAAGTCAGAGAAAGATTTCTTTAAATTGTTTTTAAAGTAACGACTGGCATAGGAATAACAGGAAAACAAGAGCATGTTCAAAAGCAGCAGCTTCTTCTGAGTGTGCAGCAGGGGCCAAACTAAAAAAAACGAACCATGTAGCATCCACAGGATTCAAGATTCAGGCACTTACTTAGTCCTCAGGCAGTTTACTGCAGCACCACAGCATTTTGCCTTCCTGCTTTATCAAAACTGATCCCTTTTTCCATCCTTCTCCACGCGGGGGAGTTTACTTGATACAGCGAATCTTTTTTTGCTCCCACTAACGTTTCCTGAAGCGGGCAGAAAACTTGGAGCCAGGGAGCGGGAGGAACCGCACGGAATCACGCACGAGGGCCAAGAGCCAAAAATGGGGATGATCCCCAAAGAAAGAAGTTTCACGAGTTTTAAAATGATCTAATACATTCTTGGTACTTACATTGGCAGGTATTTTTACTTATTAGTAACATAACTGTGTGTTGTACTTTGGGTGGGTCCAGACAGGGGGGTTATTTCAAAGAACAAATATTGCTGTGGAAATTAAGGACTACTTCAACTATTCTGCAATTAAGAGGGTGAGATGTGGGTGAAAAATGAGCCATCGCTTTCTGCTGACGGCCCACGAGGGCTGAAACCTGCCTAGGCTTCTGCACATAGAGTCAAGCTGAACTTTTAAAAGGCCTGTTTTCCAAGAAATTGCCTTCCTCCCACAAATATATATTCCATTTCATTAAAAGAGAAGATAAACTATTTGCAGCATGATCTATTTTTGCATCCTGTGTAGAGTCAACCATGACATGGGCACTAAATAAAGCCTCCTGCTACCCAATCTTTTCTTTCCAGGCATTTGTCAAAAATACCTCCTTCTACCTGTCTGCATCATGGTTTAGATTGAACAACTTCTTTTGCTCTGTATAGACTTCTAAAATATACACTGAAGTGATTATTAATTTTCACTTCTCAAACAGAGACAACTACAACATAGCAACTACATGTAGGAGGGAGCACTAAATTTTAAATTATCTTAGATTTGAATTATCCAACTTAAAATTTTAATTATACAATTTAAAATTATACAACTTGACAGCCTGTAAGGAATGGAAATTGTCAGAAAAACTAATGTTCCTCCAATACTTAGTAAAATGCTCCTTAGGCTAAAGCAGAGACAGCATAAAAAGTCCGAGCTATGCAGATCTGGTCCCTGTTGTGACCCAATTCCAGCTTCAGTATTGCAGGACCCTGTATGCTGACAATGCGACTGTACAGACCCATCTTCTGGGGGTCTTATTTCAAATGGAAAAATAAATACCAAACATAAAGCTTCATTGCCTTATTCCTACCAGCTTTCCTACCTCCTGTACTAGTTTTGTCTAGGGGTAAAGCAGATTTTTCTTCCCTTCACTGAAACTCTTGACGTTCTACGCTAGCTTTAAGTGTTATAACATCTGCTCTGTGCTTTCTGCTGATTTTGAAACTCTTGATGTTCTACACTAGCTTTAAGTGCTACAACATCTGCTCTGTGCTTTCTGCTGATTAGTTATCTGCCTACAAGACAAAATAGATGAGAAATATTCATTTTGGCCACAGCTTTGTGAGTGTCAGCCCCCCTAATTCCTGGGAGCAAATTTAGGATAAAAGGGCGCAATGGAACAATTGGACAATATCCTGCTAAAACTTCCTGAGAAATGGTCCGGTTTCCTGAGAAACTGATGTGGCATCACTGCTAATTACTGTGTGTTCTGACCCCCCGGGTACAAACCAAAACCATGGCGCTTCCCAGGAAGAGCAGAAAATGCCCTTAAGGAATATTCTGCCACGGCTGTAGCCGCTGGAGGAGGAAGAACGGCGGGGGGGGAGCCAGGGACGAAGGCTCACGCCACATGACAAACGTTTCCAAGGGAGCAGCAGTTCCGTGGTCATCACCCTCAGACTCCCGGTGCAGACTAATCTGCCCAGCCTGCAAACAGCCTGGGCTAATTTTGTCCATCCATTAAGCAGATCAGTCTGCTTAGTCTTCCCCAGGTCAGCGGCCAGCAGACTGTCTGTTAAAAGGGTTTTCCAGCAAAAACTGCTGCCACTGCAACAAGTTTTAACGGAAAGGTGCCTTACATGAGTAAGGCTCCACAGTGACAACTATTTGCACATGTTCATGTGCCACTTAATATTCCTGTGGCAACATCAGGCAAGCAATTGCAAACAGATGCTGAGAAATGCCTGGTGCCTTACACTGCTTTTAAAAATAGTGATTCATGCAGAATTTTAAAGAGGAAATATTCAAAACTCTGCATGTTTAACAACTGCTTGGAGTAGAAGCAGCAGGATTTTAGATTCCTGCAAAATTTCTAGACAATTCACCAAAATCACATGTCCAAAAAGGAATTTAACTTATGACAGCTAGGCTAGCGATTTGTGAAAGGTGGGGAATAACAGTAAACACAAGTGTCAGCCTAACAAATCTTTGCTTTCTTTCCTGAGTTACGCACATGCACACAAAGCAACACAGTCGTGGATACAAACAATATATGTGAACTAAAAGAAAATGTCCATCGAGCAAAACAGGCTCGGCACTTATTTTCACAAATCCATCCTCTAACGTTTAACCCTGGACTGCAATTACCTTGTGGCAAGTTTTCCACTTCTTTTCCTCTAAGACAAAAGGCAACATTATATTTTGAGTATTTGGGATGCCAGGATTTATTAATACTGCCACTAACATGCACTACTAATATAAACTTACCATCGAACTGAAAGTTAATACAGACTTCTGCTGAAGAAAATGCAATAGAAAACCAGTTTATAACCCCCTCCTTTTCAGTACAACCACCTCTGTATATTGGTGGTTCTTTTGATACAGAATGGATCGGATACACAGGCTCCGCTCCACTCAGCTTTACCTTCTTTTGCCAGCTCCAACGCTACAGTGAAGCTATATAAAATCAAAATGCTGTTTTTTAATGCCAGGAGACACTTCCAACGTCAGTCCAAAGAGCTTAGGCGCTGTCAGAGAAGTCCACAACTCAAGCACTGCACCGAAAGGAATTGCTGCTCTTCCTCCAGCGTTAGAATCCGGATCCACGCTCCCGACTCGGTCGGATGCAGAAAAGCAGAGCGTGCTGATATATTGTAAGTAAGGGTGCTCAAAGCAAAGCAAGGGCTGCACAGATGGGAAATAAAAACAGGCAAAAAGCAGCAGTGGGGAGAGGAGTCATTTGGTCAGAAAAGGCCCGTTTTCTTCTCCTGGAGGTGACACTTAAATGACAAGACGCAGAAGCAAACCTTAGCTGGAGAAGGTATCACGTCGCCAAAGATGAGCAGGGGAATCACACGGGAAAACGACGGCAATAAAATATGAAGAAAAAAAAGCCCAAAGGACAAGGACCATTAAAGGGAGAACAAAAATATTTTGCTCATTTAGCAGCACTCTGCGTGGCCAGGAAGGAGCCAAGAGCCCAAATTCCACGTTCCCATTTGCTGCCGCTAACAGAAATGTGGAAAAAGAGTGGGCAAACTTTGGGACCTTCACAAGCCTTACTAAAAATGGAAGAGGGTGGCCAGTGCTCCGAGGGGAAGGCAAGAGAGCGAGGACGTGTAAGGAAGTCACAGCTATTTTTGGACTCGCAGCGCTTCCAAAATCACATCTGTTTAACAAACCTTTTCCAAAGCAGCAAGGAGATTTAAAACGAGCAGCCAAGATACTCAGGTAGCCCTGATGCTCAGCTGCAGCTTTTCCTGGCCCAAACGCCTCCGGGTTTCATCTCTGCCTGACCCGAGTGCACATTTGTATAGCACTTCTAAAAATAAGGCTTGCAATAATTTTTATAACACAGTTATGCTGCATTTCAACTGTTATTAAATTAATGAAAAATGCACTCATGAAGTAACGAAATCTTTGCCATCCATTTTCCTGTGCTGGAAACATAGGCCAGGTTGCAATATAAGTTTCTTTATAGCATAGAATCGATTAAAAGTAGTCGAACTGAAAAGAGCTCAAGACTTTATTGCTAAAATTACCCGTCCCTGTCTCAGATTACACACTCCTGCCTTGCAGCCCAGAGAAGTAAAACAGGGAAATTAAAAGCAAGAGGGATCAGATGAAGATACCCTATTAAAAAGGAATCTCTTGGGCTTGTTCTGGTGACATTTATCTCGGGGACTACAAAAATTACGTGTTTCATCTCCAGTTTGAGAGCCGCTGATCTGCGCTCCATGGTGTTGCCAAACCCTTTCCTGGTTCCAGGAAAGGATTTGGCATTTTGTTTAAACTCTGCAGCATCTTGCAACACCGTTGTCATTCGAAATTGCACAAAAAAGGGTGTTTTCTTTTGTTTAGAATTATTGCCTAATTGTTTTTGCACTTCTTTCTCTTGTCTTGTGAGAAATAACAAAGTATTTTTAATGAAGTTTACTCTGCAACAGCAAAACTGAACAGAAATGCCGGCAATCAGCTAACAATTCATTACTGAAATAGCCAAAAGCTGCTTTTCAGTTATAGGAGGCATCTCAGCTTTAAACAGAGATGTTGCCATAAAACCCTCCTAGTTCTGTCTTAAAAATAAGTCAGTCAGCTGCAATCCTTAAGTTTATCATGAAGGAGTAAAAAGAAAAGGTCTAATATTGTACTTAGATTATGATCCATAGCTACAAGCATTGAACTTTCTTTGCAAATAATAAAAGCACTTCAAAGTGCTAAGCCCTAAAACACAAGGTCTCAAAAATCAGAGAAAAGATTTATATGTTAAAATTCATTTCTTCTGTTATTATTTTATTTAAAATGATTTAAAAAATGATAATAGCAGCTCGTGTTTTAAGCTGCCCACACTGAGAGCTGCACAAGAGACAGCTATGGTAGGTGATAATTTGAAATGTTTCCTTAATTATTACCATTTTATGATTAAAAGATAAAAAAAGAGCAAAGTTGTGGCACACACAGATCACGCTGTGCAAACCTTTACCTTCAGAGTACTATTTTGTGCATAACAGGTCGAGTCACTCTTTGCAAGCACCACAGTTCCATCCTACCCCAAATCTTCCTTTTCCTCCTCAAAATATTTCATGCCACACATCGCCAAGCCAAGCTCCACCAAGGCCATTTTAAAAACCATCTTCACTAGACTTTAAAACATACAACCTTCCTACTGAATGTTGTATAAACTCTGATAAAAGTTCTTTTTCCCCCACTGCCTCTCACCCTTCTCTATTTTCTTCATGCATTAAGGTGTAAAGCATGAGCTCAAAATGAGCACAATATCATTTATTTCTCCTTATTTATTAGGCAAAAGCAAGTCCTATGTGTTTGATGACAAGCTGAACTTACACTTTGCAAACTGGAGATTCTTTAGAATAAATCTGTTTTAAAACAACTTTTATATTTTGGGATTAGTTCTGACACATTATTAGAAAATCACTTGAGAAAAACTTTTGTCCTCTTTTCCTGCCTTCCTTGTTCTCTCAAAGAAAAAATTGCATTAGAACTAATGCACATTTAATTTCTATACCCAAAACAATATTCATTTTTGTTGTCATCTATCCTCTTAGAAATGCCAGTGAATAAGGCTGTTATCATCCAGTGTATACTTGAAAAAACAAAGAAATTTAAATAGTGCTGTCACTGTGCTCCCTCTTGTCACAAGCATTTAACTTAAGCCATATATATGGGCAAAGTCAATACACACGAACTTGCAGACTGCCCTTAAACAGAGCATCTTACCTCTCTGGGTTTGAATAGCTGCATTAGAATTTTCATTCATGCACAATAAATAGATTAAGCTGTGTTAAAAACTCTTTTAAAAAGTATCCTCTTACGAAAATTATTCCTACACCCAATCTTTCTTGTTATGGTGTTAACAAATGGTGTTTAACATGTATATTCTTAATATCACCCACTGTACTTGGACTCCGTCAGATGCCACTCATGCACAAAAAGTAAATTAAGCTGTGTTAAAAACTCCTCTTAAGAAAAGTATCCTCTTAAGAAAATTATTGCTACACCCAACCTTTCTTGTTATGGTTTTTACAAATGGTGTTTAATATGTATATTCTTAATATTACCCACTGTACTTGGACTCCGTCAGATGGGTCTAACTGCTTCACCAATTTAAAAATGTACTGTGAACCTTTCACTTACACATGTTTCCTGTGGAACTCCAGGATTTTCCCTTGAATTCTTTCCTGGTTTGGCAAATACTGATTTGTTTCAAGGTGTTCTCGATCCTCCGAGTCATCAAAATCCCCTATTTCAGCTATTACAAAAAATAAAACATAGTTAGAATAGAAAGAAACAACAAAAGAGAGAGACAGGCTTTGAAGATACAGAATTACAGAAACCCCAAGAGCAAGACTGTATTTGCCTCTAAGCGTTTTTAACTAAATAGAAATAAAATTGGAAGATACTTATGTTAAAAATAATCACTTTTTTTTTTCCCCTCACTGTACTTTTCTAGTACACTGGGAACAAGGTAAGAAAGGCCACAGACACTTGTATTTCCTCAGCAGTGCCACGTTGCCCTGCAATTCTTCTCCAGAATGATACTGTAAAAGGATTAGCAATATTTTAATTGTGCACCTCACAGCACACACAAGACAGGTTTGCTCTTCCAGTCAGATAAGATGAATTTTGCACATCTGAAGAGGTATTATCAAGCAAGGAGGCAGAAAACCCCATTTGTGTAGATCATATTATCAATTTGTAACATGTCACTTGGCTCCAGCTCGAGGAATCAAGCTAAGCCCAAGTCATCTAATTCCTGATCCCATTCAGTCTTTCAAGGTGCCTGATAAACCAGACTTTCAAGGCTTCGGATGCTTGCAGACTGAGAAAGCAGAAACCTCAAGAGTTTGCACTTGAGTCTGAAACCAACTGCTTTTAATTCCCATTTCCTAAAGTCCAGCCCTCTGTGTATCGCTCTCTAGCCAAAAGAAAATTTAGAACTAACATAAGGAAGCACTGAATTAGGCACCTCTCAAGGAGATGAAGGCTACTGAATTAGTCTACAGAGGAAAAAAATACGCAGGGATTTCTTCATTTTTTACATTCTCCCAAGCAGCCAAAATTATCTTGTACATAAGTACCAGATGTTCCTCACACCATTAGCTAGCCCTGATTAAAATCCCTGTGTTCAAAGTAAGGATTACTGCATGTACAGAGAGAAATATTGAAAGATGGAAAGTGTTTTTAGCTACCAAAACGCAGGCGACAGCCTCTGTATGCTGCTTAATGCAATTCAGCAACATCAGCTGAGATACTAACACTGCAGAAGATGAGAGACGAGGAGAGCTGCCGTGTTGTCACTGCAGGTCAGCCGCTCCTCTGCCAAGTCCCTCTTGATTTGCAATGCAAACAGATACCTAAAAGAAAGGGAGAGTTAAAAGAAAAGTGTTGACATGTGAAGGATTTTAGAACAACTGAACAATTCTTTTAGGCAGTGGTTCCTAATTTGCCCTCTCTGCAAAAAAAGCACGGAACAGAAGTGTTACCATCAAGGACAGTCAAGTAAAACTAAACAACCTGTGACTAATCCAGCTTCATGGTGCAATTTAACAGTGCAAACAGGCACATGGGAAGAGGAAACCAAAGGAAAACTCACTCTCTAACAAGTTTGTCAGGTAAAAGTGGTTTCAATTTTGAGCTACAAAGAAACTTAAGGAGCACCTCAAATGATTTTATCTATAAAAATGGAGATGGGAGAATATTGGGCAAAATATGTATGTATATATATTTCAGCTGGCACTAGGGTAATTTACTTAGGGGTTATATTTTCTAGTACTGTAATGTCAGCACTCTCTAAAGACAGTACCAATTATATTGCCTTCTAACACTACACTTACATAAATAAAATAGTTCCTAAATTTGTTGTTAGAGAAAAGGATTTTGACAGTTTTATATTACTAATAAGCTGTCTGCAAAATACATAAGCAAAAAAAAAAAAAAAGCATGTCAGCCTTGAAAGCATCCTATTTAATAAGTACCAGATGTTAATAAGGAATGACTTTGTAGCCTAAAACTATTTTAACCTAATTTTTATGAATGCAATATTGGCAATAATGAAAGTTTCAAAGTGTGTTCCATTTTCTTCGTATCTGTGATACTTTGACACACTTACAATAAAAGGAACATAGATAGTTAATAGCATTATGAAACATCTAAAGGTCCTAAGCACAGAGCACAATTTCACAACGATGAGCACTACACAAGCAGACAAAAACATACAACGCCTGCTCCAGAAAGTTACATCCCTTACATAATTCCTACAGGAGAAACCAATTAAGAGTAAAAAAATGGAGGAGCAAAGACAAAACTGGGAGAAACACTAAAGAAGCTCTTTAAACATTTAAAAAAATGGAGTCATGTGTCTGGTACAAACTGACCTTGATTTTATTCCAACAGGTAGTGGAAACCAAATTCTTCAAGCAATACCTTACCTGGTATATTCTTCTTGCAGCTGGCCAGGGTCTGGAGGGAAAAACTTGACGGCTAGACGAAGCATTGTAGTCTTTGGTCCTAAAAAAGAAGAAATAAATAAAGTAGGTGTTTTTTGGTATCTCCAGAGAAGGAGACTCCACAGCCTCTCTGTGCAGCTTTGCAGCACGCCGGCTCCAAGCTGCACTGGTGTCTGGGGGTCTGATGTTCCCCAAAGGCAGCGCGGAGCAGACACAGACTGCCACCCACCACGCTGCCATGAATCCTTTACACTAATCTCAACAGAAATGTAAATAACTGGAACCATCTTTCCAAATTGCAACAGGTATTTTTTATTCAGAGGACAACGCGTAACAAGCTGAACCTTGCACTGAAACACTAAGGAAATGATGTGGAAGGAATCAGTAAGCCCAGAATTTTATGTGACCAAGGCAAAGAAGGCAGCTGGTAGTAAAGAGTGTTTCATCATGCTCTATGTAGCATTTTACAAAAGCATAAAATTCAATTAAATTAGCTTCAACTTCACCATTCAGCCTATTGAGCATCTGTCTTGATGGCCACAAGCCTCTATGGAGCCAATGGTTTGGACAGAGCAGCAGAGTGTCTCCCTGCCACGTACGGGGACGTTGCTCAATATCAGCATCCGGGTTTAATCTTTATTTTGGGGAAAACAGAAAAGGCTTAATATTTTCCAGCCAGTCAGAACATAAGGTGATCTTCATTTTAAGAGCGTGTTGTCAGTGTATGAACGGGCTGGCTGTACTAACTCACGAGGATTTCCCAAAATGTTATCGTGGCAAATTACTCCAGCTCTGATGCTGGGCTTCATTACAAGAGCTCCCCTTCCAGCAAACAGTGTAGCCCATTTGTCTTCTGAGCCCGAATCAAAACCAAAAAATTCATCACTCCAAGGTTATCGAGGAGATGCAACAGTGCAAATTCTCAGGAAATACAAAGACACCAAGTCTAGACCTCCCATCTTGTTGTCCCTTCATTATTTTAGATCCATCTTACATTGCTTGCACATTTTCAGTTAGCACCAAGACCAGAAGGCGTCTTCCACCACGGAGCTACGCTCAACATTTACGAGGCCAGAAAATGGGGATGAACAGAGACCTGTCCTGGACACGTCCCTTCCCTCAGTAACCTGAAGGGACATGAAGATGCACAACCTCGAGCACTCGGAGCCAGTAAAGCTCAAGACAGACCAACAGCAGAAGGCCCAATGTTTTATCCCTCCTTTCACCCACCTGCCTTCTCCCCATGTTGTTGACTACTGGGTTTTTATTGTACCTGTAATATCCGATTTCAACATGCCCACTCCCAAGAGCGGCACGTTCCTTCACATGCTCCCCTCTCGGCTGCTAACACAGGGACAATAACTTTTGCTCCCTGCCAAATAGCTGGGAGAACAGAATTTAAGACTAATCCAGCTGTCAAAAGAGTCAGATCGCAGAATTACCAAAGCTTTGGTGATTCATAACGCTAAAACCCTAATCCTAATTGGAATGGGATATCTCCAAATGTAAGCAAGCTGGAAATAAAACCTTACATTACACAAAAGAGCTCACATTTGGCATGGGCTCATACCAACAGCAAGCATCAACAGCTTGTGATTATATGTATGTATATATAAATATGTTCTAATTAGGAAAAGGTTTCAGTGTAAAGAAACACTGGACCCAGTCCTAGACTGGATGCAGAGTTTACTATAAGAAGCCAAATCTGGAAAAAGAAAGTTGTCCAAAATGAAAATCAGGACAAACATTTTCACCTGCTCTGAACTGATATTCAGCCATTTTGCACATTTATTTGTGAGGAGCCATCTTGCCTGAAAGTCTATAGGGAGGAAAGAAGAGAAGGTGCTGGCACCTTCCTTCCCTGACATTAGGGAGGAATCCTGCTGCGTTGCCGCCGTTTGGAATAAGCTTTTAACCCAAAGCGAGATGTTTAAACACCGCGTAGAGGGATCAGTCCAGCTCCTGAAGCCTTCTGGCTGCATTACCACTGCCCTGAAATCACACGTTCCAAGTTCCAGGAATTTGCTCAGATGAAAGATTCATTGTCTTCAAAAAAATCGCCTTAAAATCTCAAGACTTTTGGAACAAACTCCTCCAAGAAAGGATATTTAGGGACAGTGGATGCAGAAAACCATCCGCATATGCATAAGCTGATGTTGAACATGCTGGAAGCTGTGTACCACGTCCCTGAAAGCCCACATACAAAGTCATTCTTTTACTCTTGGCACGGATGTATAAATTAAATCCTTGTTGCAACCAAATGCCAGAAGCATGAAATCCTTCCCTGTAAATTCTCCGTCTCAGCAAAAACGCGTGCGCATAATGATTGCAGTTTGGATCAAAACCTGGAAATCCTCTGCGAAGTTGAAGTGCTTCCTTGTCTTATCCAGGGGCAGCACACCAGACTTTTGGCTCTAACAAATATCATATTAAAGCAGGGTCCATAGCAATTCTTATGTAGTAAGTAAAACCACGTAAGCATGCATTTTACCTCCTGCAAGAGCAATAAACTCCATGTGCTGGGATAGGACTGGCTGCATTCCTTATGAAGTTATTTGATAATAAGATCCTCCTCAAACAAAGCAACATTTTTATACACATCCCAAAAGAGGCCATTAGCTAAGACCGACCGGAATTTCATTTTAATGATCTAGACTCTATAACAACTACGCCCAAGGCTCAGAACCATGTGAGAACACAGCAATTGCCACCAGCTCTGTACATTTGTGTGTTTGCACTGTATTAATCTAAAACCCCTGAGGACACCAAGCATCCCCCCAGTGCTGTATCCACTTTCTCTCCATCTCCCGTCCAAACCCTCAAAATCCCCAGTAAAACTCATCAGAGAGATGAATACAGGAAAAAGAAAAGACCTTTCATGGTTGCCCAGCTGAAGCTTTTTTAAAGCTTTTTGTAGGGGGGAAACTGCTGGGAACAACTCCCACACGCAACCCCTTTGCTGATCTCAACTTGGGACAAGCTTAAGTGGAAGCCAAGGGACACGTGGCCAGGGTTACAGAGCTCTATTTCCAGGCATAAACATCATCCCATTATTACAGTTTTCTTCATCTGCATTTCTGAAATGCAGATACTATCAAGCAGTTAAATTAAATCTCTGCTTAAGGCTCAGTATCACCAGGATTCTTCTCATGGAGATGCCTATACACAATCATACATCACTTATTGGATTCAATTAAAACCCAGCTGAAATTACTACTTATGCAATTAGCAGGTTGGTCGTAAGCACAGACGCTTTCAAGGCTTTCTCCAGCCCTAACTCATCTCAATTTTCAGGCTGCCAGGACGGGACTCCTTCAGCAATCAAAAGTGCTACCAAAGCACCTTCTACCAAAAGCTAACCCCAAGCTACCAAAACCTTCACAACATTAAAACCATTCCAGAAAGTTTCATGTGTGACAGACAACAGAGCCACGTCTCCTACAGCTTAAGAATATCCCTAAAGAATTAATTTAACATCACCAGCACTGTAACGTGTGGGGCAGACCACCAAACGCCGGAGCAGCCACATATTTCAGCCCATCCCCGTTGTCTCAGGTGGCTTGAGGGTGACATATGTATCCTGCAGGGCACACGTGGCCACCAGCATGGGTCTAAAACTGAGGTTCCTCAATATATACACTATAAAACAGCATAAAGAGCAACCAAGCTTCATACAGATTCCCAGACCTCTCTGTGCTCCATCATGTCTTTTCTGTAGGACGTATTTTCCAGCTTTGAATTTAGATAAGGAAAGCAAACAAACTAACAAAAAACCCCTGCATGGGCTCTATTAAAA